TCCTGCCTATGCAGGGGGTCGGACTCGATGATCTATTGAGGTCCCTTCCGACCCTAGCATCTATGAATCTATGAATCTATGAAAAGCAGGGGAGTGCCATGGAAAGGGCTGAGAATCTATATTTATGGAGATCCACTACCCCCAGTGCCCCAAGGAGGGCTGCAGCTGCTGTTCTGGCCAGACTGCAGGAATAACCATGAGGCAAGAGGTGTATAATACCTCTGCACCCCAGCCCTGATCACAGCAGGCATTGTTCTCTACCTAGGGGGTCCATCTTCCTGAACCCTGAACTCAGGCCTTTTGGAGATAGGCTGCATTTCAGTCCTGCTGCAGGGCAGTAGATTTGTCAGCTAGACAAGCTAATGGGCACAGACCAGAAGCCATTTTTAAGCCAAGCTGTAGATACCCAGTCTTCAACATACATAAAACCCCTGAAGTCACCAATACTGGCCATTAAATGGAGAGTTTATTTGCAAACAAAAGGCAGACAAGGTTCTTTGGGTGAATCTGATATCTTTTATTAAATAGTTGGAAAAACATTTTTTTAAAAGCAAGCTTTTGGGTTTAAAAACACTTCGTCAAGCTGAAGAAGTTTCAGCAGTTGGGATGAAAAGTCCAGGAAGAGCACACACAAACTGCTGAAATTTCCTCAGCCTGACAAAGGGTTTTTAAACCCAAAAGCTTGCTTTTAAAAAAATGTTTTTCCAACTATTTAATAAAAGATATCAGATTCACCCAAAGAACCTTGTCTGCCTTTTGTTTGCAAATAAACTCTCCATTTAATGGCCAGTATTGGTGACTTCAGGGGTTTTATGTATGTTGAAGACTGGGTATCTACAGCTTGGCTTAAAAATGGCTTCTGGTCTGTGCCCATTAGCTTGTCTAGCTGACAAATCTACTGCCCTGCAGCAGGACTGAAATGCAGCCTATCTCCAAAAGGCCTGAGTTCAGGGTTCAGGAAGATGGACCCCCTAGGTAGAGAACAATGCCTGCTGTGATCAGGGCTGGGGTGCAGAGGTATTATACACCTCTTGCCTCATGGTTATTCCTGCAGTCTGGCCAGAACAGCAGCTGCAGCCCTCCTTGGGGCACTGGGGGTAGTGGATCTCCATAAATATAGATTCTCAGCCCTTTCCATGGCACTCCCCTGCTTTTCATAGATTCATAGATTCATAGATGCTAGGGTCGGAAGGGACCTCAATAGATCATCGAGTCCGACCCCCTGCATAGGCAGGA